CTTACTAAGTTGCTTTAGGGCCTTGATAAGTTGCTAAATTTGGCTTTGGACTTATGATCCTCTTGCCTCAGCCTCCCGAGTCCCAGGGATTATAGGTGGGCAACACCATTCCTAGCCAATGTAGTATTTTAAAATAATTTCATTTGGAATATATCTAGCCAATGTCACCACCACTTCTTTAATGGTACCTACGTAGCCTTATAGCCATTTAACTTTCATTTTTAACATAAATTGTTCATACAGTATTACATGACATATACTTATAAATATGTAAAAGGTGGGTTTATATTGAAAGGCTGCTCTGAAACTGTTAATATTTATCCATTGTATATTATTCAAAGCTAAAAGTCAAAGTTGATATAATAATTGGCTTCAGATCTTAGTTAAGCCAGAGGTCATCATTAGGTCACTTAACTTCTCTGTGTATTGTTTTTCATTATTTTCAAAACAAAAGAAATTTTATCTGTAGCTTCACTGTCTTTTTCTATTTTGTGGGAAAATAAGGTAATAAGTGAAGGAAGAGTTGCTCATTTATTTAGCAGATCTATAGTAAGTATTTATATAGTTCAAGCAATTAGGGCAGAGTTCAAAATATAAATAAAATATGATCCCATCCATTACATAGTTTTTAGGAAAAGGAAAAATAATGAAGAGTAATAAATAGTACACCTGAGTATAAATCCCTATGAGGTATAGGCCTCAGACGAAGCGTGTCATAGAATTCGTAATGGAACTTGAAAAACATATAGATTTCGATGGATAAGAAAAGTGGAAAATCATGCTAAATAGGGGAAAACCTTTATTTTAAGAAAAAGGTTATTTGAATTTTTAATTACTGTTAAGTGCAATTAATATACTTCTCAGAAATATCTTTTTTTTTGTGGGGTTGGATAACTAGGGATTGAACTCAGGAGCACTTGACCTCTGAGCCACATCCCCAGATCTATTTTGTATTTTATGTAGAGACAGGGTCTCACTGAGTTGATTAGTGCCTTGGTTTTGCTGAGGCTGACATTGAACTCACAATTCTACTGCCTCAGCCTCCCGAACCACTGGGATTATGGGTGTCTACCACCATACCTCGCTACTTCTCAGAACTATCTGCAAAACCATAATCTAATTTTTGTTTTGTAGTCAGGTTCAGATTTATCATCTGTATTGTCCTTGTTTCTTTCCAGGAGGAAGAGACACTGCAGGTCTGGGAGGAAAAGGAGGTCCTTATCGGCTGGATGCAGGTCACACAGTGTACCAGATCTCTGATGCTGAGAAGGATGCCGTTCCCGAAGAGGTCAAGAGAGCTGCAAGAGAGATGGGCCAGAGAGCATTTCAACAGAGGTGAGTGTTCACGTCACATCTACAACAGTGCTGTTGACTAACAGACACATACATACTTGTACGCATGCATACATGCACACTGTTAGGTGCTAAACTCACATGGTACAGAGCCTGTAGCCTCCAGCTATACATACTTGCACGCATGTATGCATGCACACTGTTAAGTGCGAAACTCACATGGTACAGAGCCTGTAGCCTCCAGCTATGCAGATAACGGCAAGATCAGTGGGTTAATATGAGGTAGCACTCATTCCTGTGCCAGGATTTGGAGATGAGACAAAGCTAAATGAAGAGGGCACCAGGATAGAGTGCACAATATTGATGAGGGAGACAGTCAGCTTGCCTGCCCACGAAAAAGGGTAAGAGCTGGAGAGAGATGAGCAGT